AAAGCAGTGAATATATTTTGAGGGAAAGAATGAAATCGTTTTAGGTACAAAATAATTTAACCAAAAGAAGTTCAGTGCTTGATACCGAAAATATTTTCTTCCTGGTGATTTAATTTCTTCCGAAACCGATGGAAGTTGCAGCATTTTCCAATACGATTTGAATTTCAGCAAAAAAAATTGATTAAAGAGCAGAATTGGACATTTATATAATTTTAGTATTGATGTTCCTGTAGTAATAGTTGATTTGAGATTAATTAGAGTAATTCCACTGGATATAATATTTGCTTCTTAAATTTGTTTGCAGATTTTGAAAGTTATTCAGGAAGATGAAAAATCTCACACATTTTATATTTGCTTATTTATGCACAATGTTGCCCAAAAATAAACTGAAATGCATCGAGTTTCAGTGAAATCATTTTGAACTATCCATCGAGTCAAACAATATAATGAAACAGTCTAGCCTGCAAGTTTTACAAACAATGTTATAATCATTGACTAATCTCTTTTCTGCATTTTAAGGAACTGAAAATTTGAGACGCAGAAAAACTGAATTCAAATACAGTCAAGAATTTATAAATATACGTCTACTACAACGTCACAAAGAAAAGTACGATAAGTTTAATAGTCGAAATCACATAAATTACTACTGCTAATTACACCTCCTGCTAAATAGAAATCCGTGCAAGAAAATCCAAAAAAAAAATCGTGAAATTTTTTTGATGTTACAATTATTTGAAAAATGAAAATGTATGCATTGCAGAGACGGTTTTTTTTTTCACTAATTTTAATTGTCATTTATGAATACCATCAATCAGATGTGATCTTTCAACAAGTTAAACGTTTTCCTAAACACCGACAAACATTTGAATTTAAAAAGTATTTATATCAAAATTTCTGAATGTACAACAAATATTCAGAAGAAAAAAGAACTGGAAACTAGATCTGCAATAAAATGTAACAAAACTCCGATAATTCCAGAAAAATCTCATTTTCAAGCTACATTAAGGTAGTAAAGTTGGTACGAAACATTACAAACAAAAAAAAAAAAAAATTCCTTTCCCAATCAACAACTGTAATGTAAAAGAAAACAAAAAGTTGGAAACAGAAATCGGGATTAAAAGGGAAAAATGATACATAAAAAGTTCGGATAAACTCACATCTGCATGAATCTCCTACATTCCGCTAATTTTCCTCATAGTTCCGGGAAATTTACGATCACAAAAAACTGCACCAAAATTTTCTTCTACACATTTTGTTTCATCTAAATTTATTACAAAGACAAAATCATAATTTAAATAAAAAACACACATAAATCATAACATGGAAAACACTATGGTATGCATGCCAGATGAAATCAATTATCATCGGCAGTGGATGCAACTTTCAAAAAAAAAAGCGTAAAGGTAAGAAGTTCAACTTTTATATGCATATTTGATCAAATCAATCGGTAAATATAACAGAAACTTGTAATTATTTGGAATAGCAATTCTGATAAAGATGTTAGCTTCAGCTATTCGAGAGAACTAGAGATAAGAAATTTTTGAAAAATTACGGAGAGCATGCTCATGACGAGGTAATGCAATATTATTAATCTAACAAACAGTATTCGTTCAAGTCATTACTTAAGAACTGATTGCTTATTCGGTCTTACTGCTTCTGTTTTAAAATTTCCATGAAAAAAATGATCGAAAAACTTGTCCTATTCAAAATTAAGTGCTACTTTAAATAGAAAATAAAAAAAATAACAAAATAACAAAACAAAATAGCAATTACATTTATCGTAATGAATAATAAAGAATATTACTTTGAAAAAATCAAACTAATTGTGGCTATCAAACATATTATTGTTTGAAAAAATTCAAATTTATGACGACTATTAATTTTTCCTTCCTGTTCATTAGTTGAATTATTTATGAGGTAAATAGTAATTAGACGTTAATATTAAAAAAAAGAAAAAAAAAGAACAAAACTTTCTGATTAACTATTTCTACCGTTTGACATGAAACAGCAATAATAAACTGATCGTAATCTTTTCGTAGCGAGATCATTACCAGAAACAAATTACCTTCCTTAACAAGCTGCTCTCTTATCACTTCTCCAGTTAGCAGTGATTCGAAAAATCTTTTTCGTGATATGCTTTGATCTTTTTAATCCTAAAAATGACTGCATTTAAATTACCACAAAATTTTCTTTCTTTACCATAATCTCAAACTGGTTATGATCTAACCAGCTTATCATACGACTATAAAAATATAACTTGTAAATTGTATCTGTCTCATTACATTATTAAATATGTTAATTTAAAAATTGGTAAATATTGAAAAGATTTTGATTATTTTTTTGGAAAAATTATTTCAGCCTTAAAACAAAACAATCGGCAAATATTCATCAAATAATGTACCCATCTGATTCATTAGCAGTTTTTTTTTGCTTTTTAAATTGACTCTAATTCATTAAAATAGAAAAATTTTTTACATTTTATAACGGAGATTAATGAAATCAATGGAAGGACTGAATCATGTCTATCTATTTAACAAAATAAAAGTAAAGTTAGAATTCATATTCAGCACTATGAACCAACCTCATATCATCTTGATCATCATTAGATGACTGACTGCTAAGGTTTGAGAAAGGTTGGCTAATTGAACTCAAGCATGAAGGAAGTGAATCTCCCGTTGTTCCGGAATCCGTGGTTTTGTTTTTCTTATCACTGTCGCTCTTGTCATATTATATCTTGCCATATTCTATTTGACTTAAATTGTGACTGATATGATTACCAGTCAATAACCTTTTCTTTGAAAATTTCATATTTTTATATCCTTAGGAAAAACTTTTTAATTCCAAGACCTGAACTGTAAATAAATAACTAGACACAATGAAATAATTAGATGAACAAAAAATCATCTCTTGCATCGTAACCAACCTTTTTGGCATGAACGGTTACGACGTTTGTAGATGGCGCTAGGCGTGATGAGGTCAAACAAGATGAAGAATTCGCAGTTTCGGTGGCCGGAACAACTGGATCACCCGGCGGTGAATTGCATGTTGGCTGAGCAGGTAATGATAACGAAGAGTTCTGTTTATCGATATTTACCTAGAATTTTGATCAGATTTCGGCTGTTATTGCAAAAAATTTAAAAAATTCGCAATGATACCGGAAAAAACCAAAAAATTTGCGCAATTACCTTTCAAAAAGAATTGATGAGCATAGAGAAAAATCATACATGTCAAAGCTGGCGTAGTTTGTTCCATCTGACGATATTCATCCTCCACTCAATTCTAATTTACATATTTTCATTGCTTTCATGTATTCTAGCATATATGTTTCCTTACAATGTCCAAAATCCTCAGTCAATTACGATTTCCCTTATTTTCATTTTGAATTTCCTCTCGTTGCTATACTCAAATATAAATTGATGACAAAAAATTTTTAAATCATTCCTTCAGACGAGTCACTTCCTGAACGGTCTCTCTATTTTATCCCTTCCTTCTTGATTTCCACATTTTTCGACTTTAGAATTTTAGATTTGCTTGTTTATTGTTTACTTCCCTAAGAAAATATTTCGTGGAAGTTGGAATTGGTCAAAGTTTCAGTGTTTGATCTCATCCAACTGTTAAATGTATCGGTGGAACGCATTTATTAATTTTATCTTTCTTTTTGCTTTGATCAACGCCGACGACAAAGATTGCTTCGTTAATGAAAACGGTATGTTTTTTTTCCATCCTTTCCTCCATTTCAATTTTTCTTCAGTTTGAAGAGAGAAATATTTGATAATTTGATTCGGGAATTACCATACTTTCACACTTTCATAAGACGGGAAATTTCTTTTTAAATTTTTGCAAATATTTCTGCAAAAATAGCCTTCGATATTTATTAGCACAAATGAAAAGACCTGGAAGAAATTAATATTGTTTTTGAGTTGTGGAAGACCTTTATATAAGCTTGAAACATGATCCGGACATTGGAAAGATTATAAGGAATTCCAATAAATTGAAAGATTCAATAAAGCTGTTCCAGGACGCCTTCTTTTCTTTTATCGCGAAAAAGTTCGCGAGGAGTCATTAAAATTGTCAAAAAAAATTGCCAAAAATTTTACACTCAGTTTATCAATTAATTAAATATTATTAATCATTTCATTAATCAAGTAGGGACAAATGATGAAATTTAGGATATATTTGCTGTGATCAGAACATGGTAAAACTGATGCAAAATGCGATACAAGAGAATGATGGTTTGTTAAATACAGGGCTAAATATTCAGGTAGATGCATGGTCGCAACGCGGCAAATTTGAAACCGTCGTGGCCTATGATGATTTCGCCTATAAACATCTTTTTAAGGTTTATTTTATGCATATAAAACATGGCAAATAAGGGCAAATTAAAAATATTTTTTAACTAATCTAAAATAAAAAGACGAGATATAAGGTTAAGGGAATTGAGGGAAGGTCAAGGTTGACATTACTCTTATAAACCGCTACCATGGAAATGGATCAGCGTGGAAGAAATAACCGAAGCTCAAAGTAAATCTTAGTATTAAACCTTGAACAAATGCATTCCTAAAATCACAATCATATTAACAAACATTTGAATCAACTGTTGTAGACGGATTTAGCATCACAATGATAATTTTTATCTTACAACTTACGTGCAAGTTGCAAATCCCACAAATGAACCCATCCATCCTACCCATAAATAGAATTTGCAGTTTGAATAATATGCATCATACATAAATGAAATTATTTTAACAGGCGGGAAAAGCATGCAAGACGTCGAAAAATGGTCTGCAAGCAATTAACTGAAAGCAGCAATCAGTGACATCTTCCTCAACAAACTTCTTTTGTACATATAAATTCACGCCTTATTACTGCCAGGGATTGTGTGCATCCATGATCATGTGCTTTGTACAATGCCCCATACTTCCGAGAATCCTCAAAAAACCTGAATTTATCCTTTGAAAGTAGTGTATTTTTGATAGTTTTANACTTTGAAAAGAATATAAATTCTTTAA